TGGATACATTTGACTATATTTCATAGGAAGCAATCTCCTTCTTTCAGAAGTTAATTGGAACTACTGACCAAAATGTTATATGATGCACACATGAGTTTTTGACAAAGCTTTTTTAGAGGGCCTTAACTACATAGGCTCGAGACTTTTTTATACAACTAGTAACGAAAGAAGAAATTCAGTTTACTATGTTTGTATTGAATGGAAAGAAATCCCTAGGACCTGAAGGGTTTACAACACATTTCTTCAAACAAATTTGGAGTGTTGTGAAAGAGGAGTTTACTAAGGGTATATAGCATTTTTTTTCACACTGGGAATATACTACTTGTTTTCAACTCTATAATAGTAGCATTAGTTCCTAGATGCGCCAATCCTAGTATTATAAAATATTTCAGGCCAATCTTTTGTTGGACCATAATCTACAAATATATTGCTAGGATTTTGGCTAATCGATTAAAGAAATATCTGCTTAGGATGATAAGTAGCAGTCAAAACGCATTTATAGAAGGGAAAAGCATCATAGATAATGTATTACTGGCTCAAGAGATGATTTGAGGTTACGGCAGATCCATTTTATCTCCAAGGTGTGCAATTAAAATCAATCTTCAGAAGACTTTTGATTCAGTGGACTGGAGCTTCATATTTTTTGTCTTGCATGCAATGAAGTTTCTAAATCAATTTATAGGATGTATAAGAGGTTGCATTACTACTTTTTTCTCATTATCACTTAATGGTGGACTAGTAGGCTATTTCAAAGGAGTAAGGGGAGTGCGACAGAGAGATCCACTTTCCCTTTACTTGTTTGATCTGGTTACTAATGTTCTTTCTATACTATTAGATGCTGCTGTCTTAACTAGTGTCTTTGATTATCATTTTAGATGCAAGAGGATTAAATTAACCCAACTTTGCTTTGCTGATGACTTATTGATCTTCGCAAAGGCAACATTGGACTTAGTGGTAGGGATAAATGTGGTGTTAGACGCATTTTATAATATGTTTGATCTATAGTTGAACTATGAGAAAAGTGAGCTCTATTAGGTAGGGTTTAGTGTGGAAAAACTTTCCACAATCCAACAAGCTTTGGGTTTAAGGTTCATTTGCTACCAGTTAGGTACCTTGGGGTCCAATTGGTAACTAAAAGGCTCACAGAGAAAGATTGTGCACCCTTGGTCGACAAGATAATAGCAAAGATTAATAGTTGGGCTGCAAGACACTTATCATATGTTGGCAGGCTACAACTAGTACAATTAATGCTTTTTAGTATACAGAATTTTTGGTGTAGGCACTTCATTCTCCCAAAACATGTACTAAAGAGGATAAATTAGTTGTGTTTAGGATTTTTTTAGAAAAAAAAGGAAAAATGGCCAAAAAGAGCTTGAGTAAGTTGGCATGCAATATGCTATCCTAAGTTTAAGGGAGAGCTAGGAGTTAAAGGTATCTTCACCTGGAATCTGGCTTGTGTCTTTAAAAACATCTGGTTTGTTAAAACTGTTCTTTATGGATCGTTTGGATTGAAGCTTACGAATTGAATGGAAGAAGCATATGGCAAACAACAGCCAAGCAAATTAGTAGTTAGAGTTAGAGGAAATTGCTTCAAATAAAGCAGATTAAGTGGAAATTCATCAAAAGGGAAAATGGAGTGGATGTATTTCCAAAAGGGCATTATGAAGCTGCTATGGTATGGAATGAACTCAGACCACAACAATGGAAAGCGATATAGCAAAAATTAATATGGTTCAAGTACTACATCCTAAAACATTTACTGATGACCTGGATGGCTATTCTGAATAGGCTTCCAATAAAAGATATGTTGCGATCATGGAGAATGAAAATTGATAATAGATGCAACTTATGTCACGAGACAAGAGAGCGTGTTTACTTTAAATGTCTATACAAAAGAAGTTTGGTAGAAGATCCTTAAGCTATGCAGGATTGATAGAAGGGTAGGAAGTTGGCACATAAAGTTGAGTTGGACAAAAAATAGATTAAAAGGGAAGCATTGATCTCAAACTTATTGAGAATTATTTGGAATGCATGTATATATCTCATAAGGAGGGAAAGGAATCAAATACCCCCTCCCCCCCCAAAAAAAAATGTGTTCAACTATAAAAAATAATTCATTTGATACTTGATCGAATATTTGAAACTTTGAAATTTTGCTAGAATACCAGAAAATTAATTTGATTTTTTAAGTGTACGTAAGTGTGATTTAATTATGTGACGGTTTATTGCTTTTATAAGGAATTATGAATAATGATTGTGAATATAAAAATAGATAAAAATATAATATACATTTAATTTAAATAAATAATTGTAGTATATAGTATAGGTGTTCAAAATGTTTGGGGGTTGGGGGAAGCCCCCTCCAGGCTCCGCTTACGGTCTGCCGTTGGACTCATACTGTAGGATCAGATATTTTGTAGAGCATGACGGTAACATCAGGTATTGCTTTCAGATACGAGGTTCATGACGACACAAATGCTATGAAACTTAGAAGACAACTCTGAATTTATGGTAGTAGATTGGTAAGAAAAACACCGACAAAGAGAATGGTTCAAGAAACCAAACTAAACAAGGTTTAGTTAATGTTAAAGGAGTAGTCAAATGTTTGAACTGCCTTTTAACATTTCCTCTCAACTTCAAATTGAGATTCATCACATCACATACAGTTTAAACCAAAAGGGGTAGTAATAGAATCTCGATGAAATTTCTAGTATTAATTCCAATTCAACAAGGTGACAGAGAACATGAGAAGAGAGAGAGGACAAACAACAAATAAGTGCTCATAGAAGCTAAAGCAAGCCTTTAGGCAACATCGATGATCATGCTCCTTCCTAGTCGGTAACCTACAGGGTATGTATGCCCCGCTCTCCGGACTGATTTTGTATTCCAAGCAGTGGGGAAGTGGTTCTACATATTGTATCCGCCGTGGCCATAATACAAAACCGGAGTTGAACCATGCAAATAGCAATGACAGGAATCATGGGATTCATTAGCCAAGTGGAATCACAAACTTCCATGGACCTATTTTATGAACATCAACAAGATGAAACTTTTGAAACAATGTCTGCGAGCAGAGCATAAATCTCCATAGTAATCCTACATTACCATTGACAGCAGAGATTTTAACATGACAGCTAGACTACTAATAGAATCGTCATGCAGAACCAAAGGCTGTTTCAAAAGTCTCAATTGCAATTCATGAAATATCTCGACTTCTAACCTAGATGAAATACAGTCTTCCACCATAAGCCTAATTCAACCACATTGACTCCTCACTCTGTAAATGAGCAGCTAAATCTAAAAGGAAGAAAATGCTCATGTTTTTATCCAGCCAGGCAATTAGTAACTTTTTATATACACAGAATGTGGTGCTTACAGTCAGTTCACAAGTTTGGAATCTCTGAAATAACCAGGACAACATTTTCCTTAAACAAATGCACCTGAAAGTTATAAACTAGCATGGGTCTGGGATTCCAAGAATCATTAGCATTGTAAGTGATAGTGAATGCAAGTTCTTATCAATGGTATATGGAGTTAAGTTCATCCAAATCAATTAGCTAAACTTAAGTTGCTAGTGCTAGTTTTTTGAAAGGTCAATATTACTATCTTCAAACTGCAGAACTCTCCTATATAATCCCAAAAGGTCTACAACTAAAATAGTACAACATGCTCAGTTCTTAAGTCCAAGTCATATTTTGCAAACAATATGCCAGAAATCTAATCCCTATGTGTTTCTTTTTCCTTTTTAAAGATAGAAACTGTCATTCGTTCACAAGGTGGTTGATTGCATAGAAACTGTCATTCGTTCACAAGGTGGTTGATTGCACAAAAAATGTGTAATTAAGATCCACCAAATCAGATAAGAGAAAAAGCAGAAGTAACATAAATCCTATTAGAAAAGTTAAACAAATGCATCAACTGATTATCCACAGTGCTCAAAACATAAGAGGGAATTGCAATTTTCATGGTGGCCTGAAAACTTCAAGCACTTGAGAGTAAACCATAGTTGTAAGAAAATGTTTGCTCAAAAAAGAAAATTTCCGAAATCAGATTTCAAGTTCAAAAGATCACTAACAAATCACTTTCAAACCCTACTTTAACAGGTTGTCATGTGCTAGAGCTTAACTAAGAACAAACATATGAACCATTATAAAGGCAGAACATCACAAATCAAACCCATGCCACAAAAATCTAATCCAGAACATCTAAATCTAATAGATCTTAGCAGTAAGAAACCTATCAACTTAAACAAGGATAAAATCCTTAACTGACTTCCAAGGGCTCTTTTTCCAGCTTTATGTAAAAAAATTTAGGTCAGATCATTCTAATCCCATATAGGGAATAAATGCTAAAACTACCCATTTGCAGAAGAAAAAGAAACTTAAACTTAACAGCATTGCTACTGTTTTTGAAATTTTTTTGGGGGGATTCAAAGTCTTCCCCAAAATTTCCTCTACATTTTCTGTTCAGGAAAACGGATAATAGTTTGACTAAAGTTACCCATTTGCATTCTAAACCGAAAGGTTTGAAGCCTGGACAGTGGTGGAAAGTATGCCACAGTTAGATGGATCAGTGTTTTCAAGTGGCTATATGTATATTGCAATGCCCTTCAAAATTGGATTTCAGATTCATTAATGTTGGTGTGCTAGGACTAGATGTCAGTTAAAGTAAATAGTCTATATCATAATCACTTTACATGTTTAAAAAAGCCCCTAAAAGTAATGCACTAGTACATATATTCCAGGCAGTAGTACAGCAACTCCTCTTCATTAAATGAGCATTTCCTTTGGTAATTGGTTCTTGTCAAGTGCATTAACAACGAAACTTTTAGATGCATACATGAATTTATCACAAGTAACATATATCAATCTATTAGTCAACCAAAGAATATACCCCTGCAAAACCTGAATGGCCAGCTCTCAATAGAAACTATATGATTGCTACAACTGAAATGTTTCACAACATATTCCCAGAATGATTATTGAATAACAATATGGAGCTGAACAAAAAGTAAGGCATAAATTTTATATTTGTAGTTATGCAGGCCATCAAATTCACAAACGTGCGTCACAGTTTAAAAAGTATCCTATCAACTTAAAAAAGAAAAAGTAACAGTAGATGCATAACAAGTAAAAACAAGCATGCATTATCACAGTTTTTTCTTAACATTGGTACCCATTTTGATGATCATGCTTCTACTCCAACTGTCCCAGTTTGATCCTCTGCACCACTTTCTTTAATCATTCCCATTTTTTTCTCAATAATGCTATCACAATTCAAATTCATCTTCAAGCTTCAACTGCTCTGCTGCAGCCTCCTCCTCTTCATCATCAATCACAAAATATGGGTTATGTGCCTCTGGCTTAAACTTATACCCTGTAAAAACATAAAAGGCGAGTGTGGCCAACTCCCCGGCCACCACACTGGTCCAAAGATACTTATACGAGGTAATGGTCTCCAAAGCATAAACCACGACACGCGTAAAGTAAATATAACAGATCACCACAATGTAATACTGCCTAAACAGAGTCAACTTCATCAAATTCACCGCGGCTTTCCCATCCGTCCTGGCTGCCTCACGCAAGTTCTTAATCGACCAAACAATTGGGAACAACACCGCGCAGCAACAAACAACATCAACAAGCAAAAACACTTGCCTCCACGTGATCCAATCCTGACCGAAAGGACCAGTCTCATCAATAACAACCTGGGCAATATTAGCAACAAACTGAAGTGGAATAACGATCATCAAAACCTTCTTCTCCTTGTCTTGCAAGTAAGGTTTCAAAAACGACCAGCCGGTTCCAATCAAAACGATCAGCGTAAAAAGCATGATTCCTTTCAGGAAACTGAATATGTAAAACAAAACATCCCAGCCATGAGCACTTCCGGTTCGTTTAATATAAGACTTATCCTCTGCTTCGCATACCAGATTAAACGCTTTTAAAATAACCACGGCCAGCATAAAGAAATGGATTCTAAAAACTGTAAGTCGTTTTTTGTAAAGCACGTAAATCCAAATCCCTGCGAGAGTGAAATAAACGAGGGACAAAAGGAAGTAAACCCTAGGGAGAATTGTTTTGCCGGCGGAGAGATAATCCTGGCGGTTGTTCTTACCATCGAGATTGTACATCGCCGATCGGACGTTCATCGATACTTTGACTTGACTAAGGCAGTTAGCGAAGACGAGCGTGTATTGATCGGCATCGTTTTCTTCGTAAACGATGTTCAAGCTGGATTTCCCGTTGAGAGACTTGAAGCTGGAGACGAGCTTGACGACATCGGATTTGAGTGCGCACGTGGTCTCCCGGTCTTGCAGTTGTTGGAGCACGTGCATACAAGAGTCGCGCGTGCAGAGGAAGAATCCTACTTTGGTCAAATCGAGGTCGGATTTGGGGTTTGAGAGTGCGATCTGGGAGACGTTGAGTTCGAGTCGGCCGGTGTGGGTGAAGCCGAACTCATCGAACGGGATTATAGATCGGTCATCGGATCGGATCTCCGTGAAACGGATCTCCGCAAAACCAAGAGAAACAAAAGAAGATATCAAAAGAAAAACAAAAAAACAGTGAGAGATCGCCATGGGAAACAGGAAAATTTTGGTGTAGATCCGAAGGAAATTTCAGATCAACAATTTGATGCGTTTGGTTTGGGCTTTGTTGGGTTTTTATTTTTATTATTTTAAAAATTAAAACAACCAAGACCGACTTTGGAATGTTAACACTTCAACCAACTCTATATGTGTGTTTGTTTGCGCTGAGATTCTAGTGTTCAATGGAAGGACGAAGAATTTGAAGTAATTGCCGAGAATTTTTCTATGCTTTGTGAAATTACGAAATTAGAAGCTGTTTGATGTTAACTCCCCCCCCCCCCCCCCCCCCCCAAAAAAAAAAAGAGAAAAAGAAAACCTATTTGGAGTGAGTGTCCTTGGTATGGGTATAATGGTAATTTTGCATGGAGGAATGTACTGCGAAGGAATGACAGAGATTGGGGAGGGCAACTAGAAGACGAGACCTAGAAAGATCATGTAACTGGTAAGCTAAAGCTACCTCGTTTCATTGATTGCTTTCTGAATTTTCGTTTCATTGATTACTAAAATCAATGCTTTTTTTTTTTTTTGTCGACTAAAGGTAATAGTTTATTATTTAAAATTTGGCATTTGCTTTTAAATATTAAAATTAAATTTTTTTAACTTCTTAATAAAAACTTTTTATTTTTAAATTGATGTGGCAATTATTTTTTTAAAATAAAATATAATATAAGAGACGATTTATTATTTAATAAGATTGTTATGAGAACATTTTAGGTTTTTTTTTTTTTTAAAGAATATCAAATTTAAAATGAAAAAATTATAAATATTAAAATTTAAAATTGTTAGATATGCTATTATTAAAAAAAATTATATAAATTAATTAAATTAAAATTTAAACACATTAATTTCAATCTTTCATAAAAGCAAAGCAGTCCTGAAAACGTGAGAGGTGTTGATTACAAAATACGTGCCTTAAGTATGAGAGCAGGTTTTGATTGCTGAATTCGTTATCATCTCATAATGTTAAAATTTTGGGGTACCCTTCTTAGAGCTATCTAAATTACTATTATTGACTTAGTCAATTGTTCCTCTTTTTCGTTGATGTCTCTCCAATATTTTGGGTTTTTTTTTTTGACCTTTTGTCAAGAGCTTTTAATAGCTTAATATCTCTTCTTTTGGTCATAATAATAATAATAATAATGTGTTGTTGATGTTGTTATTATATTTTTTTTTTTGTGGGATGACACAAGGAAGATGTCAAAGCAACGAAAAATAAAAGCAGATAAATTTCAGTCACTTGCAAAGGGTGCTTCAAAATTCTCAGCTCTAGAAAAAATCAGTTCAAATAGGATACAATGATTTTCCTTGGTTGTATAGTGAACTTGGAAAAAAAGAGAAGAAAGAAAAAGATGGTGGAGTCTCTTTCAAATACTTAATTGGAACCTTCAAAGTATGGGTCTTATAACCTACTTGACAACGTCACACCTAGAAAAACTGTTGGTGAGTTACGTGAAGAGCGGGTAATTATTTGGCCTTGAATTGACCAAGTTCATTGGACTATTTTCAATCCGAGATTCCAGGGCATATTTTGTTCAAAAACCCATACCTAAAGTTTTAAATTAGATAGGTCAAAGCACATTCAAATGTATTGCTAATTTGCTATTGTAAGCGCGGGTCCAATGGTGCAATGGTGCAATGCCAGGAGTTTAAGTTACGATGTTTGCATGACATAATTGACTCTGGTACAATGGAAAGCATAGTTTCAACACTCGTTACTAATATTCTTTCACAGCTTGAATATGGAAACGGAAGCGTTTCTTTGTACTACGTTAGCTTCTCTTCTTTCATATTCACTGTTCAATAACACCATGATTTTAGTTTGCAGTGGCTTTCCCCGAGAAAAAAGCAAGAGCACCGACAAATGGTGCATTAATATATGTGGCTGGCTCAGATTGCTGATAATTGTTACGATCATCTGCAAAGTTGTCTTTACTATCAGGACCACCTATTACGGCTCCCACCAGGACATTCGGATTGGGTGAACCAGAGTTCAGATATTGAAAACCATTGTTGCAGGTGATGCGGTCAGGATGTGCCTGAATGGATGGAATGGATGAACCCCTATGGTGGATATGTTGTGGATATCTCTGTCCGAATCCGACCATGTAAGACATTTTGGCAGGATTATCACCTAAAATGTAGTCCACCTGCTTCTTTGCCTGTGCTATGAGGCTCTCTGCTTTTACAGTTGAAGTCCCACATGTGGCAACTCCACCATTTGCGCTAAGATACTTGGCGTATGTCAAGAGGAGAAAAGATGTGGTAGTTACATATTGCAGATTGCTCTCACTTGCTTTGTAGAGAAGTCCCCTGCAAAATATGGTACTATTAGACCATTCTTCATATTCGGAAGCAGCTCCTCTCCAAATTATGCAGACAGTTTTCAATTAGCACAACGTCCAGATAATGGAGATTGGAGAGGTTACAAGAACTGCCTATCATGCTAGGTGTGAAATTGAGACTTCTAGTTGACGGTCAAAATAAAATCGAGAGTTAGTTAAACAGATAGGTCTATAGGTGCTGACCTGGTGTATATTGGGCCTGGAATCCAGATGTTCCTGGAATTAAGGAGCATATGTAGTTGTCTGAATGTGATTTGTATAATTGAAATTCTGCTGCGTTTTTCTCCAAGAAGTCCTGTTAAAATCACCCAAATTTGGTTACGCTCTTGCTTGATGTCTATCAAAGGTGGAGCAAGGAATGGGGTTCAGTAAAATACCTTGGACAGAACGACTTTTGTTCCAGCTCTCTTATCATCCCAACTGAAGGAGTAGTCATCATTATCCGATCCCATCGTGTGGCCATTGGATTGGATATATAATAGGTACGAGTTTTCCTGTGAGGCTCGATGGATCCATGATGCACCCCAGAGAAGCTCATCCTATTCAAAATATTTTGATTAATAATTATATTCAACTTCCAATTTTCAACGAATTAAGAATCAAAGGGTATTTCTTACCTGGTATCCAGAGTAAGAGCAGTAAAATGGGCAGACCGCCGAGTTTAGAGAATCACTGTAAGAACCTCGGTATCTGTCTGCAAAATCGAAGACCTGCATCAACAGAATTAGCCTCTTATAACCAGAGGAGATGGAAACAGGAAAATGTCAAAATAAGATTGTTAGTAATTATGTGGAAGTTTTTACCTTCTTGGCGGTTTGAAGCAGTTTGGCAGAATAGGAAGGGTCAGAGTCTTTGAACACTATTGAAGCTGCAGCCAATGCAGCAGCTGTCTCGGCTGCTACATCAGATCCAGGATTTTGAGTAGACACTTTGTATACATTGCGTGGGGTATCCATATCTTCTGGCCTCTCCCAGCACTTGTGATCCATGTTCGGATCACCCACCTGCAGCATTAGAACAATATTATATGAGCTGTTATCTTTCCGAAGTTTAATTCTTGGATTTGTCAGTGATTCAATGATGCTATAAACTCATTATACTTGTTTCATCCTTCCAATATCGCACTTCTATTTTGCTCAAGGGTTCAATTAAAATGTGTGAGGATTTGTTATTTATGATGAGATTTCCCTGTTGTACTTTAATATACATTTACTTCCATTTGCCATTTTTTCTTTAATTCTTTTGAATCTATATTGTTCCCAAATAAGTATTTGGGGGTTTGCATGCATGAGTACTGTGGGTGGAGGTTATATATGTAAGCGTTAAGCATATTATTGTTTTGCTCACTTGAACATATAAGGTGCCAGGGGTGGCAGTAGCTGCTTTTAGAAGATAATCTGTACCCCAGCGGATGGCAGCCTTTGCATTTTCAATCTGGTTCTGCATCGAGTTGCCAAATTCAATGACACTCCATGCCAACATTGTTGTTGTGAAGGCCATTGGGAGGCCAAACTTGACATTATCTCCAGCATCATAATAGCCACCCACGAGGTCCACCTGAATTCCACACCAAGAAACACACTTCTATTAATGCTCTTGTTGATCTAAATGGTAATGAATGGCAAAACAGTTTTAGTAACTGCAAAGTTATACGTACATGATAGGAAGCACCATCAGACAGACCGGAGTTTCCCCTCCATTTCAGGCGCTGGTTAGGCGGTAGTCTGCCAGACCGCTGTCCCTCGAAGAAGAGAATGGACTTTTCAAGAGCATCAGAGTAATCTCGAGAAGTGAAAGCAGTACAAAGTAAGCTAAGGGAGAAAAGAGTTAAACAAAGAATCTGCATTGTTAATGAAAATATAGCAGCAACCATCTAATTAATTTTTGCTTTCCAAGTAGATTCGAGGGTTTTGAGAATACTGGTGGTGTGGAGAATGTGCCCTGGTAGTAGAGTTATTTATAGACAAAAAAATAAGCGGGAAGTTAGGAGTTCGTTAGGCGTTGAGAGAGAGAGAGAGAGACAAGAAAGATTCATGCAGCTCACGGGATCAACTGCGTAAATTTGGATGATATGTTCTCTTCAGCGGACGACATTCAAAGTTATCCAAACCAAGATATGGGAAACTTGGAAGCCTTGACACAGACACAGAAACATAAATTATTATTCTTTGCTCGCCATGTTCATAATTCGAGTTAATAGTCTTTTTTTTAATTTTTTTTCTTGTAAAAAGGGAGAATAAAATCCCAAAAGTCTTTTTAAGACTGCATGAATTAAGAACTTTGGATACCGTAATTAATGGCGGGGGCATTTGATTTTGTAGGAAATATGATTTGTCCGTAGCTACAAAGTCACGGATGCGTATAAAGCTGAGTCACATGAGCCTCAAATGCAATAGCTTGAGGCTCATCAGAATTTTAGTTTAACAGCATGCGTGAACAGTTTTATTAGTTACTGGCCGAAAGTCTAACCACAATTCCATACATGCATCATGTGATTGCAGAACATTGGAGAGGTTACCTTCCTAATTAAAAGCGTAAAAAGTATCACATGGTTGGTCAAGGATTTCAGAAATCATTTGGCAGGAACCTCTCTCGTTCTTTCTGTTACTGCGGCTTGATTTTGGGAACTATTCCTCTTTTAGACTTTTAGAGACCACCCAGAAAACGAAACCCAATAGTTTTGCAGTCTCTCTGACAAAATTCAGACTCCTGCAGGACCTAATTTTATTGACCTGAGAAAAGGTTTTAGGTTCTAATTTTTCTGTTTACCTGTGATCTTTTGTTAGTTAATTTCTCCAATTGATTTGTTATCAAACGAGCCAATCCGTGTGTCACGTGAGTTTTTTAAACTATCGAAAGATAAACTGGTTCATTGGTCCTCGCCACATTCAATACTTGCCTACATGGGAAATTCCAACTCCCACGATTATATGAATGTTTAATTTGTTATTTTGGTCTGTTCTGTTAAGCTTGCTATTTGACGTGCGTTTTTGCTATCAAAGATGGATTGATCCTGTCCAAATTCAGCTGCCTACAACGGAAATGCAACTCACAAAATTGTATGAATGTTAATTGTTTCTTTTGTATATTTACTCCTTTGCAGTTTCACGTTAACGCTACGAGTCAAGAGGAAGAAGGAAACTTTAGTCGCTTTTCGCAAAATTCTAATTCAAATGGTTAAAGGCAACTGGCTGCCCCGCTTTCTTCGCATGAACCATTGTAAGATTTTGTGACACTATTATTTATTAGCTAAAACTAATAGTTGCTCTTTCTTTTCTTTCTCAGATACCAATTGTTCAGTAGTTGCTTGGCGTTAGCCAAATCAACTTTACAATGAGAGTTTTATCTAGCTGACAAGTTATTGTATTTTATATCTTTTCCTATAAGCTCTTGATCATGACATTTAGATTTCTATATTGACCAGTGCTTCCAGTTATATAAGCAAATCATGTTGCCTGATCTTATTAAAAGAAAAATCAATCTAATTAGTTTTGACATGTTACTCAAACTTGAGTTCAAATTATTAAAGTTTAGCTAATATTCTCATATTTGAGGGTATGATTCAGCCAAGAAATTCTCTATGCAGATGGATATGCTTATGTCATAGAAATTTGGCTTAAAATTGAGGTGATTGTGGTGAGGTTTTATCCTCAAAGTAAACCATGTGCGTCATCCAGGCTGATTTGCTGCTAGGCACACTTCCAAACTCTTTTCTCCATTTACTAAGTGATTATGAAAAATCTTTTATGATTAATGAATTCCTAATTCAAATATTTCCTTGATGAGCACCAAGAAAACTTTGTTCTAATTTCCCAATCAAATGCTGACTGACAGAAGATCTGTCCCAAAAAGGACAAAATTATATAAGATTGTCTAATGTAATGAATGGATGGAAAATATAGATCCCAATTGTAAAATATACCAAAAGTGAACAGATGCAAAAGAAATTTGTGTTTTTAAGCTATCTTACTAAAGAAAGGAGACAACTTCCCTTCGTTGATTGAACAAACAAGTAGAAAATTGCAGAATTATCTATACAGTCTATACATATATATCAGTTTCTCTTTGTTTCCTCAATCATGATGTGACCTAAGATTCTTACTTCTTAATTTAGAAAGTTTTGCCTACATTTCCTCTTAATTATAAGATGTGTCCATCTGGAAGATCATGGAGAATGACAGGCTAGAGGAAAAAGTCTTGAACTATGTATGTGAGGTAGTTTTCTTTTTCTACAAGAGAACTGAGCCAGGTAGAGCATCATCTCATGCTTGTAATTTGTGGCAGACATTAGAGCTGGGGTTAGCCATGGAACCTGCAGTTGGGGTCATAGTAATTAGAAGGCAGAAAATCAAGAAAACAATATCTGATATCTCCATTTTTAGAGAAAGTAGACTATCCCTTTTTGCTAGAATGAAGCCGAAATTAACATACATATTTCTGCAAAACAAGCTCTTGATCATTTATCAAATCTGTGAACTTGTTAATGATAATTAAACTTATCTTCAAAATCTGAAGGATTAATGAAATATAAACCATATATCAATCTCAGAAATCAAGTTAAGAAAAAATTGTCAAACATATAGGAGTCTGGTTAATTGAAGGTCATTAGTAAAGAAATCTTGATTGAAACAATGTTCACATATTTACAGATATTCATTTTGTTCTAATTGTATTTTTCAAGGAATTCAGAAAATTTGCAAATTAAGTAAATCAAAACCTTAAATGTAAATTTTGTTGAATTAGATTTTTAGTTTTAGGAAACTTGTTCATTTTATAATAAAAAGCAAAATTATGAACTTAACTTCTAATTCAACTATATATGTTAAAAAAGTTCATTATGAAGTCATATATGAATAAATCAAGTTCTGTAATCTGTACCTGCATTTCTTGATATGAACTCCACTTTTTTGCTTCTTCCCATTTACTTCCACTTCCACAACCTAGTAAATTCTCATCAGTTAGAATATTTTGACATATACCAAAATGGGAAAAAAATATGAACTCTAGATGATAAAGATCAAGCTTATTCGGCTTGGAAAAATGGCCATTCAAGATTGTGATCAAGGGGTTATATGCTTTATCTTACATTGAAAAGAAGGGGAATCAATCTATAAGAAATATGGAATGTGTATCAAATGCTGTAGTCTGATGCTCTGAATATAACAAAAAGAAACTGCAGACAGCATGGATTTTAGACAGAATATTAGAATTACTCTATAAAGAGTAAAAATGCTATCCTTATGATCAAATATCCCCCGAAAGTTTGAACATCATAATTTGAAGAAGAGTGTTTTCAGCATTATTACCTCAGATGGACCGACTAGCCAGTTGAAGAAAGGAACTGTCAGTGCAGCATTGAACTCCTCCGCCCACTTTGTTGGTGGAAACAATTGCCTAAACTGCATCAATAGCACTCACACATCTTAATCGAATTAACTTATGCACAGAACTTTGAAGATTTCATTGGCAGCCACAAGTAAGTATGAAAAAAAAATAAGTGAAGGCAAAACTTCTGTCTCATCATCCTTCTCATAATTTGTCATTACATTACTAATAATAAGATGTCCATGATCATTCCCAATCCCAACAAATTTGGTGTATAGAAAATGACAGAAGCCAAACTTTACATGAAAATTGCTTTAAAACAGAACGGACTGAACAAATTTACTGATAAAAGTATAGGGAATTAAGAACAAAAGTTGTCCACCTGAGCTGGTGCACCTGGAGGGAGCATGGACAAGAGCACCTCTCGGACCACTTGCTGCTGCTGCAAGCGAGACCTCCCCTGCATTACCCTCTTGGACACCTCAACAAAACTCTCATAGTCATAGTCAAAAAATCCCTTCTTTGCTTCCGTTCCAGCTTTTGGTGCAGCCGCAAACTTTTCCATCTTGCGAGCGAAAAGAGACATAAATGCCTTCTCAAACAACCCATCATTATACTTTGTTTTCTGTCCCAATGGAGCTGGCTCTCCTGACGGCTCTGCAATGCCACACCGGATAAAGTTGCTAAAATTTCTTCGTCTACGTACTGATAACTGTTGAGGAGCACTAAAATGTGCGGCTTGGAGGCCTAGAGCCACCATGGTATATCTCCTGAGAAACGGCACTAAAAATTCAGCCTGTACCTTGGGAAATCTTTCATAACAATTAAAAGCAAATAATGCAAAACTCAGTTTTACAACTTATAAAACTGTACAGTCTCTTAAAACTGTACAATTTAGGACAAAATTAGGGAAATGTAAAATGTTTGTGGTTGAGGTTGCATGGTTTCTATTGAAAATTTGATGACCATACATATCATCGCTGAGAGGAGATTATTTCCCTTCTTATTTTTGGAATTGCCAACGTAACCCCAACAATTTTATTTTATGTTGAAAGCTTAGTATGTCAATGGAGAGATTACATAATTGTATTGGTAAGGCTAATAGTGGAATTCCACAAAAGAAGATGACATTAGAGAGTTGTGTGATGGTGTTCCATCCTTAAGAAAGAAGATCTAATTCAAAAGAAGTAGATTTCTGAGGCTTAAAGAGATGCCACGCATTGATTTGATAGACCCAAATGCCTATGCTTGTGTGTTTATGGCTTTACCATTAAAAAAAAAAAAAAAAACAGTATCTGATAACAGACTACGTGCTTCACGCTTGTCGCTCAAGGCCTGAGAAACAGCAAGGTCACGCGACCAAGAGCCTTAACAACTAAACCTCCACGGGTTTAGATGGCATGGGCTTCTTTTTGTTTATGTTTTTCTTATGCGGGCTCCTCTTCTTCGAGTTTTTTTTAGGCCCATGCTCCTTTCTTAAGTTTAGGTTGTGTATTTGTAGACCCAAAAGTGAGAATTAACAAAATCCTGTGGTGTTGGATTTTAGTCTGGAGTTTCAACAGGAAGGGTATAGGCCACAAACTTAAAACTAAAAAGACAGGCTAACAAGAAAATAATAAATAACCCAGCACCAAATGTAAGGTCAACCCAAAAAGTTGAAACGCGCAATTGCGCCTCCTTTGGTCCTACTGGTGGATCTGTTGGTGTTGCAGTTCTTTCCCTGCAAAATTGTAGGTTTCACCTTTGAATCCTAACCATTGGCCAGCCGGCTAACTTCAAACCACCCACATGATCTTCTGAAAACTGTTGAGTTTCTCAGCAACAGAGAGAAGAAAGAAACAATGCAACCACCGCAAATCACATGCTGATCTCTCCCTTTCTCTCTGCAGTTCTTGACTTTTGGCTCTTCATCATTCGTTTTTTGTTGTTGAATTTTTAACATAAGCCACATGGCCCATACCCTGCCATGATTAAAGTCGACGTTTTTTGCCCATTATTTACAGTAGTAAACCTACATTGAAATTTAAGAGAATCATGGGGCTTCAGGGCTGGACCAATAACAGAAGATTCAATCAATTTTCTATTCCATTCATCGTAAGCATTGGGAAGGAAAATTTATGAAAACAGCAAAATTTGTGCTTCTGGCAAATTGACACTTGATTTACTACAGCAAGTGAACGGCTACTGACATTTAAGAAACAAAACAGGGGAATTGCCATAGAGGGAGAGGAAGTTTTAGATAGAGAATGATTCATTGATGATTGAGGAGTTGTGTGCGGAAATCAGATAGAGAGAGTGATTATCAAAACGAGGAGCACAGAGTAAGGTGTGGGAGGAGTGTTTGAGTTTGACTCGCTCTTTGGACTTAATAGCTGTGTCAGAAAAAACAGTTGTTGACTTTGAGCTACAATAGAGGATAACATACTTTCTAGGTGGGAAATTGACCAGGGAATTCCCAGGAAAACTGTTTCATTGCAACATTTTCTTATCAAGACTCCGTTGTCAAACAGCAGCCTCGAAGCTAGCAGCCAATACATGAATAACAAGTTTCAATTATTTTACAAACATTGTGAATCTTTTTATGCTCTAGACGACTTTCTCATTAGGTCATATAGACATCAAATTTGCCTGATTTTTAATCAAGTCTTATTTTAAAGTTCATCACGTGTATCGAATTTTCAAACTCATATTCTAATTCGACTGGAGTCAAGGTCTGATTTTGATTCAAATGAACTCCAAATCCGATTTTGACTCAATTGGACTTCAGGTCTAATTTGATCCAATCAGGCCTAAAGCCCAATCTGATCTTGTAAGCTCAAAACATATTTTTGATTTATATTTTATTTAACAAAAAATACAACAAAAAAATTAAAAATTAAAAATTAAAATAATAATTAAAAAAATAAAAAAACAGATGACTGGTGTACGAAGCCACTGTCGCCCCTGTCCAGCCTTCTGCCTGATCCCATTTGATCCAATTACCTTACAGCCCACCTCTGCAGCCATCTCCAGCTATCTCTACCCTCACCAGCTCCCTGTCCAATCTCCTTACCAGCTACTCGACTAGCCTCATCAGCTGCCCGACCAGCCCACCTACAGCCTACCCTTGCAGCCACCCTACAGCCACCACCTACTCACCACCCTATAAACCCCCCAGCATTATAAAACACCTAACTTCCTCCTTTTTGGCCCCTCTCTTAGACGCAGACTCTAATACACAAAAACCCAGCCCTCAAACCTCTAGAAATCGAACTCTCAAACCTCCAAAAACCCCAAAATCTACTATACTCTGAAACCTTAAGGTTCAAACGCTTACCCTCAAACATCGCCCCTTTCAATAGCCCTAGATAGAACCATATCCAACCACAAAAAAAAACAACACAAACAAAACCAAAAAAGACAAACATAGTCCTCCCTGTAGGGAGGAACCCAACGCTGGGCTACCTACAAAGCAAAAAGAAAAAATCACATCAGTTTCATTTTTTTTTTTAAAAAGGGGAAAAAAAGGCTAAAAACTTCAAGCTCTGATCTACGACGATCGAGATTGTTTTCGACGAAAATAAAAGTCAGATTTGGAAAAAAGACAAAAAAAAAAGCTTCAGGTGTTTTTGAAGCTTTTTCGGAGTAGGTGACCAGCGGCTGACGGTAACGCACGACGATCGACACAACTCGTCGGTGACCGATTTTTGAAAGTCGACAAATCTTCTATTTTTTGGTTGAAAGAAAAAAGGTTTTTTTTTTCTGAAAAAGGGGAGAAATGAGCTAAAAAAAAGAGAGCCTTTTATATAGAAAGCCAAAGCCTAAAACGACGTCGTTTAAGCTAAAAGGGATTTGCACAACTTGACCTGTTGACCTGTTCCTTCAACAACTGTTGAAGGGTTCAATTGAACCAGTTTGAATCGAATCGAACCAAGGATCGACCTCCTGAACTGCTGACTGAATTATCGAACCGGTCAGATCGTCCAGACCAGCGTTGATAAGACCGTTAACCGGTCTAGTTTAGGTATTTTTTACTTTAGTTTTTTTAATTTTCTAATTTTTTATTGCTATTTTTGTTATTTTATGTTATTTATTCATGCATGATAAATTTTTAAATTTGTTAGAATAATTATTTAATTATTTTTAATAATAATAAAAATGAAAACAAGTAGGATAATAACTAAAAAAAATTAAAAATGCTAAAAAAAATAATAATCTAAAACGTAATAAAAATTGAATTATTTATTTTATTTTATTTTTCTTACCTAGATGTTGGAGGGAATAAAAATGTACTTTTAAAAATAATTTTGCCTAGATGTTGAGAAATTATTATATAAAGATTAATTAAAAAAAAAAGGTATAAAAAGAATAATAATTAAATTAAAAAAAGCATAATAATAATAATAATAATAATAATAATATTGAATAAATTTTTTTTATTTTATTTTTCTTACCTAGATGTTAGAGGGAATAAAAACGTACTTGTAAAAATAATTCTGCTTAGATGTTGAAAAATTATTATATAAAGATTAATTAAAAAAAGAAGGTATAAAAAGAATGATAATTAAATTAAAAAAAGCATAATAATAATAATAATAATAATAATAATAATAATATTATTATTATTAAATTAATAATATTATTAATAATAAATTTTCATAAAAAATGAAATATATGAAAATTTTTTAATTAATTTTCAAAAATTATAAAAATCGAACTTGCTTCGAAAATTCACTTAGATATTGAGAATTTTTAGAGATGTTCACATTTTCTTTAAACCCTAAAATCTAAACCCTAAATTTCAAAATCCAAAAATTAAAATGCTAAAATCAAACCCCAAACACTCTAAACCTTAAAATCAAAACTTCAAACCTTCAAACCTTAAAATTAAACCCCAAACCTCCAAACCTTAAAATGAAACCCTAAACCCTTCAAACCCTAAAATTAAATCCTAAACCTCAAAACCCTAAAATTAAAACCTTAAATCCTCTAAACCCTAAAACCAAAACTTCAACCTCAAACCTTAAAATCAAAACCCCAAATCTCAAACCCTAAAATCAAAAACCTAAACTTCAAAATCTGAAACTTGATACCTTAACCCTAAAATCCAAAATCTCAAACCCTAAAATCCTAAACCTAAAAATCCAAAAGTCTAAAGACCCAAATTTGATACGCATTTTTGAATCTTCAAAATCTTGAAGCTCTAACCTTCAAAACTTCGGCTTAAGCTCTAACCAAATCAATTTCAAAATCCTACGGACACGTGTGAAAATCTCACTTGAAGTAATTTGTTCCCAAATGCTGCCTAGATGATGGGGTATTTAGGAAACTTTATTTCATTAAGTTTTTCATACAAATTCCTAGTCCTCATTAATAATGAGACTAATTAATAATAAAAGTATAATAGTAAATTAGGATCTTAAATATAAACAGTCATACCTAAGCTCTACCTAGATGTTGAAGAGTCAATGTGGTCTCATTATATTTAAGAATCTATTTTTTAAAATTGCATTTATTATCTGACATAATATCCATGGGCATACATGCATCATTATATTATTGTTGATGCTCATTTCGTATTTTTTTGTCTTTAATTTTTATTTGTTACCTGACAATACCATTATTTACTTCCTCTTATAAAATATTTTACAAGATAAAAATATATATTTTAAAGTTGTGATGTTATAAAATAAAACAAAAATAACATTCTGAAGGAAATAATTTTTAGTATTTTGCCTAGATGTTGGAGAATCACCAATAATTATCTTCCACAAAGAGTGTTATTTTTTATTTTAAAGAATATTGTGTTAAATCTTAAGCGAAAAGATTTATTTTAAATTCTGCCTAGATGTTGGAGAATTTTAAGATAATTTTTTAACTTAAAGA